TTAGGATGCGGTTATTTTTTAAAATTTTTTAATATTTTTTTTTCTCCCGCAAAACACATCAAGCACATGCGTACTACATTTTCATTGAATGAATTTTCAAAGAATATACTATATATCTTATATATATAATTCTTCTGTACGTGTGTTGACAGTGAACTCCTCCTAAACGGCTAAGCCGATTTTGATGAAATTTTTTGTATATGTTCAAGTGGATTCAAGGAAGGTTTAGATTCACAATTTGACCCACTGGATAATGTCTTTTTAATTAATTTTTTATTTTTTGGTATCCATATACTTTTATATTAGAAATTTAAAATTTCTTCATGCTTACTTTGATTTGTTTAAAAAGTTTAAAATCTCTAAAATGAATCGTAAAACTGCCATTGCATAGCTTAAGTGCATTTAAGATTAATGAAATAAGATTAGTAATTAAAAGAATTATGGGGAACTTAATTGAATCAACAATATTAAATGGAAAATTCAGAGGAGAAAATATATTGCTTCCATGCATACCAATTATACCAACCGATGTTCCAATTCATTTCAAACGATTGCAATTTTCAATTCGTTTACCATTTGCGATCAGGTCAAACATTAAAAGTATGTGGACTGAATTTGGAAAATCTGTTTTTCGCATGGACAACTATATGTTGCATGTTACCGTGTTGGATAACCTTCTGATCTATATGTATACGCTTAAAATGGCCTAACAAAAAATATTGTTCATGAATTAGCTTTAAGTTAACATTTTAGCCCATAATAAAACTGTTAATATAATATTAAAAAAACCTTTTTTAATTTAAAATGTAGTGCTTATAAGGATTTGAAGTAACATGAAAATATTTGTAACATAAGTAATGCATGTGGACTTTTTGTAGATCAAAAGAAAAAATCAATTCAAAATAATTTTCGCATTAAAATGCTAAAGGTTAAGTTGAATAACAACAAATATTATAACTCAGCTGAGCCAGGAAAATTAATTGCAAGGGGAAACAAAGTTCGCCGGGTCAGCTAGTATTCTTATATAATATTTTTGATTTCGATTAGTAATAAAATTCTACATAAAACCCAAAAATTTCAGGACGATATCGTAATTAGAAGTACTTTTAAAAATTTATTTATCCTTCATATCACACCAAACACATATACACGATTTTTCAGTAAAAAAAAAAACAAAAGGAATATGTCACACAAATTTTTTTTTTTAGTTTTGATTCAAATTAATATATAAATTCTACTTCAAAAATAAATATTCCCACTGTAATATTCATTTTAGAAGTAATTAAAAAAAATTAATTAATCAGGTGTCCTTCACGTTACTCATACGCACCATAGTACCATAACATCATTTTTCGAAGGAAAACTATACAAAAATGTTTACTTTTTATTTTTAAAATAAATGTATACAATTAATATTGCTATGTTAAATTAGTTCCGCATTATTTCTGTTTTTAAATTATAAATTTTAACATAATTAAACCGTTTAATAAACTTTTTTCTTATATAGATGAATTAAAAAGTTAATTAGTTTCATACTAGTCGAACTACCTAGAAAACTGCAGCACATAATCTCACCTACCTTTTTAGGTGCAGTGTTATTTTGCTAAAGTTGGAAAAATACTCTGCACAGGTAAGAAATGTTATAGGAAAGAAACTGTTATGAGCTAAAAACAAAATATTTTTTTTATGGTTTTTACATTAATTTTATTAATTCTTATTTCATTATTGATACATAATCTGTAATGTCTGAAGAATAAAATATGTTTGCCATTAATACTTTTTTGGAATTTGGAATAAGGCAGTGATATTTTAATGTGTATTTAACTGATGTAGCTGCTTCAAAGCGGTGTTTAATCTTATTTTCTTCTACTTCATAGTCTTTTAACGTTGAGAAATGGCACACAATATTTGGTAAACTTTCCTTAGCTCAGTTAAATAATTCCTTTGGTGTTTGGATTGGATTATTTATTCGTTGAAGGCTAGCTCTTGCAGCATTCCTCTTTAAGGTACCAGCTAAGCCGTCGCATGGTCCTTTGCCGTGTGACGTTGGAAAAAAGTGTCATTCTGCTTCCAAACCAAAGTCCGCTTTGTGATGAGTTAAATTAATAAAATTTTTTTTATTTTTATATTGTGAACCCGATCCATCGGAAAACTAAATAGTTTTTTTAATATCCGTACTAATTTTTTTAATGAATTTGATAGCGTATTTCTGAACAAATGTATAGTAGTTGTGTTGTGATGTAAACAGTCAGATATGAAAACAAAATTTTTTATTTGTAGTTTTTTATTTTCAAGACTGTGGTATATTGCAAAAATATGAATTGTTGCCTGATTATTATTCCAGTGAATACCTTGAACAGAGTTTTGAACAAAAAAAGCATAATTTTCGGAAAAATCACGCAAAACTATGCATTCAGTTTTTGTTAAGTTGCTTTTCTTATCATTTAAAAACTCTGCCTGTTTTTTAACTATAAAAGAATGCAACAGCAATTTGTCTAAACCATCTGTTTAGGATTGCAAATATTCATCTATTTGGGATATCAGCGTTTTTAATGTGCTTCTCTCTTCACGATCCCATTGTTTGTATTTAACGGTGTCCATCATGTTTTCATCAAATATCTCCAGAAGTTGTTCATTGATATTTTCAGTTCCAGGACATTTGGCGCAGGTTCCTAGAAAACATTCTGTGCGTGACGTATTGCAAATCATACGCTGTAGGCAATCTTTATAGTTATATATCGGCTTTCTACTACATGCAGTCAGTGCTTTTATATTCACTCCATATACCATTAATCGTACGTTTTCGTGTATGGAGCACATACAAACTGAATGTGTGCCGTTTGCTCCTGCAAGAACGCAATGTTGTGGTCGTAAAGATGCAAATTTTGAAAAACTACATTACAGGTCTGGAAGGTTGAGTTTGAAAGGTGTATGCAACTCCTTCAAATTGTTTAGAATGGACCGTTTTCGCATTTGTGTTCTTTATCCGTCAATTTGTAAGGATACGCAGATTTTTTTCCCAGGCATTACTTGACTGTTTTCTTCACATTCGTAAAAATTTAAAATTCTATTGGTTACATATTTTTCTAGCGGTGGCTTTTTGGATTTAGGTCTTCTAAGATTCATTTCTCTGAAGTAAGTTTTTTAGCAACAGTAGTAGTCATACATTTTGTAGCGTTTGAGAAGTAAGTCGTGACCCTTTCGGATAGACCAATTATGTATCACACCCACTATTTTTATTTTCATAGTTCTATCTGCTATGCCAATAAAATTTTTCTGCAGATTTTTTAAAATTGATGCGAGTCATCTTCTTCATCGCTATTCTTAGAGTTATCCGCAGGAATATTAAAAATTTTAAATTTGTGATTTATTTATTCAATAAAAATACTTTTGAGAATACTAACGTCCTTAAAAGTTTAATTTTTATGTAGAATTTAATGATAAACTCAATTCAGGAATAAAAGGTAAACATTTTTGTATAGTTTTCCTTCGAAAAATGATGTTATGGTACTATGGTGCGTATGAGTAACGTGAAGGACACCTGATTAATTAATTTTTTTTAATTACTTCTAAAATGAATATTACAGTGGGAATATTTATTTTTGAAGTAGAATTTATATATTAATTTGAATCAAAACGAAAAAAAAAATTTGTGTGACATATTCCTTTTGTTTTTTTTTTTACTGAAAAATGGTGTATATGTGTTTGGTGTGATATGAAGGATAAATAAATTTTTAAAAGTACATACTTCTAATTACGATATCGTCCTGAAATTTTTGGGTTTTATGTAGAATTTTATTACTAATCGAAATCAAGAATATTATATAAGAATATATATAGTATATTCTTTGAAAATTCATTCAATGAAAATGTAGTACGCATGTGCTTGATGTGTTTTGCGGGAGAAAAAAAAATATTAAAAAATTTTAAAAAATAACCGCATCCTAAAAATTTTTATTTCGTAGTAAAATTTAAAACTGAATCTAAATAAAATATAAAAAATGGAATCTCAGGGGATATATTTTAAGAAAATTTTTTTTTGAAATTTAATAGTTAATATTAGTACTTAAATATAAACAATTTTAATTGTTTAAACAATTTTATAAAAGTTCTATCAATTATCTTTGAAACGCTGTAAATTTCAAGTTTCTACCTTTTATAGAACTTGAGATATAGCCATTTGAAAATGTGTCTACTATGCCAGTTCTCAAAACCCCATGGGTCCATATCTCCTAGGAAAAAAATCACAAAATTTTTTCCCGAGATACGGGTCTTCTTATTTTATGAAAGGAGCTCATAAAAAAAATTTCAGCCAAATCGGAGGTGATGAGGTCATATTTTGCCAAAATCCGTCCGGTTTGTAAAAGAATGACCCATATATATATAAATGTAAATATATATTTTTCACAAATTTAAATAAGACATCTCGGTAACACTTTTTAATGTAATCACTTTGAATAACTACGATAAAATACTAAAAAATTCACTTCGTATTCCAATGAATAATACAGAAACTTATTTATGTATATAACTATCCAAATGTTAGACTTATTTTGTAACAAATTTAGTAAACAACATACAGTCATGCAGGCAAATGCATTCATAGAATTTACTAAATTCAATCGGGTGACTGCACCTATTTTTTTCTTTTATTCAATAATTATTAGAAATATTATACAGAAAAACTTTGTATATGTGAATTGTTAATTTTATAGGTCTATAACTTTTGGGAAGAGAGTTTTTATGTAAAATTAAATATGTCGGAGATGTAAGCAATCAAATATGAATTTGATGGAAAAAAATCGTTATTTTCCAATCTTTGGGGCTCTTAGGGCACCATTTCTATTCATCCAATTGAACTAAAATTTTAAACAGATTATTTTTTTAGTAAAACAAACCTATCTAGAGGTACCGCGGGCAATTTTCCGACTTTTGATAATTAATGGCACCCTAACATATATATTCTGAGAAAATTATTTATGCACTTATTTTTTCTTTAGATCATAAATCGAAGAGGGCCAAATGCAAAAGCGGAGCTTCAAATCGATAATGTAACTTTTGCTGGCTATGTACTTTGGCAGCAAGGAAGTAAACTTTGTCCGCAGCCCTTGCAATCGGAACATATTGTATTAATTATGAACGGAGATATTTATAGTTATGACGAAGAAAATCTTTCGGATACAGAGTGGTTAATAAAGAAAATTTCGGAATGTAAGACTGATTCAGAGATTCTTACATTGTTTACTAAAACTGAAGGACCATTTAGCATAGTTTTTTTTAATAAAAAAACAAAAGATCTTTATTTTTGTAGGGATAAATATGGAAGAAATTCTTTAATAATTGAAAGAAGTCGAAATGCTTGGAGAATTCTAAGCACATCATGTAAGTTTTGATATATGTATCTGTTTTAACAAAAATTGCATATAATTTTTCAGACTATAAGCGTAGCACAAGTGTTCGTATATGTGAACTCCCACCTCTTGGACTCTATAAATTAAATATAAAAATTCCAACGCAATGGAATTTATTCCCATGGTCAATACTTAAAACAGATGATGTTCTTTCTCAACTAAAAACACTTAATAATTTTTTCGAAATTAAAATCTTATTAAGAAATGATATTAATTTAGATGAAAAAATTATCAATGGAAGAGGAAATGTAAAGCCTTAGAATATAAAAATATTACTGTTTGAACTAAAATATTTTTTTAAGGGATCCTTCGACTTTTATGATCTTTGTAATAATTTTACATGTTCTATGGAATACATTTTTGTTGATCTTTTAAATAATAAACAACTGAAAACTGCTTTAAAGTATTTTTCACAGTTATTAGAAGATTCGGTTAAGGAGAGAGTGATTAAAACAGTGAAATATTGTCGCAATTGTGTTAAGAAGCAAACAACATGTCATCATTCCAAAATAGCAATATTGTTTTCTGGAGGTATAGATTGCTCAATTTTAGCTGTTTTGACAGATAAATATGTAAGCCAACATGACACCATTGATCTCATAAATGTTGCGTTTGAAAATGCTACATCTGATTCAAATGATTGGAATGTTCCCGACAGACAGTCAGCAAAAAGTTCGTTAAACGAATTACAAAAAATTTGTCCAGCACGGTAAAGAAACGCAATTTTTAATAAATTTTTTTAATCTAGTTTATTACTCTATTTCTGACATAAATACAAAGGAGCTTGTTGTGAATTGATTGTTTACAATATAAATTCATATTATGTTGATATTGAACACATCAATTCTGACGTTTTTTGGTTACCCGAATAAAATGTCGCATATTTTTTTTTTTGTTAAATAAGTTATTTGCCAATAATTCTGGTTACAGTGTATTAAAAATGTGTAAGGAATATTTTTTCAAGCTGATTTTAACCGGTAATACTAACTTTCGGTATCGGTGCAGTGTAATCGAAATCCTCATTCAAAAACTACATAGGTATAATGAAAGACATTTTGCTATATAATTACTTTAGCACAATAAGGCGACAGTTTCACCTCGACTCATCTGTAGAATACTTCAAAATCGGTGGTAATTTGTTAATAAGTTGGATGCATCAATTCATAGGTAGCATATGGTTAACCTAAATTTTAGTCAGACTTGTAATCTTATAATATTCTCTAATAAGTTAAAAAAAGAATCGATATGCCCCAAATACATATAATCAGACTGACACTTGTCACATTCAAGATTCTTTTATGATTGCTGTGTTAAGAGGGAAAAATTCGATGAACATAACATTAACACTCACATTGACAAATGATACAACAAGTAAAGTTATAGAGAGTATATTCAGTTAGCTTTTGTCGGTAAAAAAGCGCATTCGATAATATTTGCTGATTCGTTAGAGTCGTCTTCTCAAACTAAGTTTTATATCAGCGACTAATATGAAATGAATGCTCTTTCGGCGCTTGACTTTAAGCAGATTTCAAGCACAAGTTTACCGTTCTCAGTACATGTACCTGAGCTATGCGAACCCATGATTCGTTCAATGCTCATGTTCATTTTCAATACGTGCATTTAGATCACCCATGAGTATTACGACATCCTTCATCATTCGTAGAACCTTTCTTTTAATTCTGGTTCGGAAACATCAGTAGGTGTGTAACATTGTACTACTGTTATTTGGTCAATATTAGCGTTAATACGTGCAGAGATTATGCGTTCTGGGATTTGCTTCCAGCTAATAAGATAATTTCGAACTATTCTGTTAAAGTAGATTCCAACGCCACGAATGTGAGGATCCCAATGGTTGAGACATTAAGGCGTTAAGCTTCGGCGGCAAGTTGAGGAAGTTTACCGACTTAAAAGAAAGAGTTAATATTCCACGCGGCAAATCGTATCCGTGAGCATGCGGGTGTCGTCACTAAAAGATCAGTTCAGTTTATTACTATTATTTAAACGGCACAGGACACTAGAAAACTACAGTACTACAGTATCCATGGCATCTATATGTAACGATTAAGGCTAATTAAGACTTATTTATGAAAAAATGGTTTCCCATTTTAAAATATATTTCATGAAACAAATGAGCGAATTACAGTGCAATGAACTTATATAAGCTGCAGCCAAATATTGGGTGTAGTAAAAAGAAATCCATTTTTTCCCATTAGATGGCCTTAGTTGTATTTCGCGTTGTACTATATATATTTATAAATATATATATAAATATTTAGGTATATAAATATTTATATATATAAATATATATATAAATAAATATATATATTTATATATATATAAATAAATATATATATGTATATATATATAAATAAATATATATATGTATATATACATAAATAAATATATATATGTATATATATATAAATAAATATATATATATGTATATATATATAAATAAATATATATATATGTATATATATATAAATAAATATATGTATGTATATATATATAAATAAATATATATATATATGTATATATATATTTATATATTCTTATTCATTTGTGCAATAACTACAGTTTTGTATACCTTACAGAAAATGGAATTTTATCGAAGTAAATGTTAGCAAAAATGAACTGGCCTTTTTTCTACATCGGCATATAAAACATCTTATATATCCGCTCTGCACGGTATTAGACGAGTCCATCGGCTGTGCATTTTGGTTTGCATCGCGAGGCGAGGGTATCTGCAATGGAGAATTTTACGACTCACCAGCGAGAGTAAGTAATATTTAACAAAGTCATTATGTCAGCATTTGAACAATTTACTTTTTAAATTGTGAATACTTTATTAGTTATTTTTGATTTGAGAAAAAAGCCTACTTATAATATATTCCCAGTGTATAAAGCATTTCTCGCAATTAGCTATAAAAAAAAGAAAGTACCAATTACATTTAGACAAAAAAATTATATCTTCCTATTATAAGGGCCATGTTATGCAGAGTGTCTCGGGCACGGCATGAGTACAATTGTTGTTGTTTTCAATGCAAATTTTAAATTTGAGAATGAGAGAAAAAACAATATGGCCGTTGAAACTCCGGCATGAGAGCCGGCGTATTTTTGCCCCGGCACTAAGGCAAAACAGTATTGTTTAGTAATAAATTTCAAAACTTGCGCCTTTTAGGAGCAAATTACTACAATACTAATACATTTTGGAGATAAAATGGCAGTAAGCAACACATCTTTTTTTTTATAAATCGCTAAAAATATAATTATCACACTTTCCAATTTTAAAGAAAGGCGTAAGTACTGTTAACAATTATTATAAGATAATATAATAATAAATTAACATCATTACAGCCTCTATTAGTTTTTTCTTGCTAGTTATTTTTGGGGACATATTGAAAGTGAGCATATCTGAATTTTCTTTTAAATTTAGGCACTACCAAGAGTGTCTTAGGCACTTGCCGTGCCCGAGACACTCTGTACCGGATCATTGTTATTATATCATCATGACATTACATGATAACATTATCATGTAATGTCATGTCACTTTTATTTTAATTTGATTTGTTCCAAAAAAATAAAACTAAATGGTAATATTTAATATTGGGATTGCATGAAGAAGCCCAATACGTATGTGCTGTTAACACTCTAGCAGAAATTTTTTTTAAGAATTTCAAAACAAAAACAAAATTTGATGTCTCTTCCAGAGAATGTTGAAATATGTATGTGCATTAAGGGACAACCCTTTTTATTGCAGTATCTTAAAGCTAATTTAAAGAATTAAAATAAAAATAAAAAATACAATAAAATAAAATAAAAGAAGTAATTAAAGTTTTCAGAGAATATAGTAATAACATACGTAAAAAGTATTAAAATTATATTTACTGATAAACAGCGAAACAAAAAGAAAACAGCATGAAATATTTAAATAACAGAATTTAAGTTAATAACAAACAAATTACAATAAACTTAATTATATAGCAGCAAAAAACAACCAAATCAATGAATAAAGAAAAGGAAAGAAATTAATAAAGACAAATAAACGTGACGTTAACCCAGTTCATTTTTTAACAGGTTCTTAAAAACACTCGGGTTAACTGCATTTCTGGTTGTGCTTGAAAGAGCATTCCATATTCTAACAGACTGAATAAACAAAAACTTAGTAGTGGAGGCAAAACTATATCTGGGAATGATGAAAAGACGAGATCTGTTAGATCTAGTTAGCTGCAAGCAATCAAAAAGGTACTTCTGCGTAGTAGTGGATGAAAGTCTGAACAAAAATAAGCATACTCGAAACTGCATATATTGTTCAATATCACACCCTAGAATCACATTTCTATAAATACCTAATTAATCGAAGCGTCTAAGACCAAAAGCATATCGCGTGCAGCAGTTTACTAAGCATCGTAACTTATTGAGGGATTCAACATCAAGTTTGGAATACACTAAAGAGGAGTACATAACAATAGGAATAATTAGTTGTTTTACCAACAAAACACGCATGTCAACAGTTGTATACTTCACTAAAAAATATAAATATATATCTATTACATAATAGAGAATGGTCAATACAGTCAAAAGCTTTGGTAAAGTCAAGGAGACATAAAAATGTTACTAAGTTTTGATCATAGCTACATCGAATATCTTCGAGGACCTTAAGCATTGCCGTCGTGCAACTATGACCTTTTTGAAACCCAGACTGGAGAGGAGAGAGAAGTTTAAAGCAGTTAAGATGAGTACGTATTTGATCAGCCATAATGTTCTCACACACTTTAGAGAGTGAAGGGAGAATACTGATTGGACGATAATCGGAACATGAGGATGCATTAGCCTTTTTTTCAATAGGAATAATCTTGGCTTTTTTCCAAACAGTAGGAAAACATGATGTAGTGAAGCAGTGGTTAATAATGTGCGTCAAAGGAATAATATTAAACGGCAGTATGAGTTTAATAAATTTATGTGGAATTTCATCTATTCCAATAGCGTTTGACTTAATTTTCATGACATTGTTAAAGATAGTTTCTTTACTCACACATACAAAGTCAAAAATGCGTTCGGAGGAAACACTCTCAAGTTCAGGGAAGACCGGAGCAACGTTCAATCTATCTCCTATAGGAACAAAGAAATCATTTAAAATGTTAGGATCAATGCTACATACATTTCTTGAGCTATTAACCACCCCTCGAGCTCTGATGTTGCTCCAAAGTGATTTTGTAGGTAATGAGGTATCTTGTTTAGATTTAAAGAACATAGATTTAGCAAGATAAATAGCCATTCGAGCTGCTTTAAACCGCGTCCAGTTAAAAACATTCGGATATCTTTTCCAAATATAATTATGTTTTATGGTGTTTTTGTGTCAGATTATGTGCATCAAAGAAGATTTTATATAGAATGGAATCACTAAATAACAAATACTCTCAGAAATTGTACAAACACTATCTCAAAACGCATGGTTATTTCCAAGTTCACCATCTTTAGGTCCATATTCGGAGCGAACAACATTTTGAACACCGCACTCTTAAGAAAATTTTTATGGGCAATTAGTGCAACAGGGAGCATAATTTTGGTTCTCTGTTTTGATTTCTTGACAAAAGATATGATTGCACTGTGCAAAATTTAAAAAAAAATTGCCGCCGAAATAATTGTAAAAAATGTAGTAAAATTCTCGTGCGGTTTATATTTAATGAAGTTTGTGTTACAAACTGTAATAAATTATTTTTTCCAATAATAAAAGCAATTTAATAAGTTATTAATAATGGTGCAAGTAATTAAATAAGTGGTTTAAGGATGATAAAAAGTTTTATTAGAGGTTTTACTGTGTTCGAAGCATTTATATAATTTATTCTAACAACTTTGTTCAAATTTGAACCTGTATCTGCGCTCCAGTTACCTAAAACTATAACAATTATTAGGATTATAGAAACAATTAAACAACAGTACAATATATTTATAAATATAAATACATACAGAAATTCTACATATGTTTTTAAATATATATGTATGTAGGAAAAATTTTTTAATATAATGATAAATAAATTTTATTAATATTTTTTTACAATAATATTTTATTACAAAAAGAAAAGTTATTTCAATGTATTTTAAAATCGACGCTCTACCCTTTTTACGCCCGTCCACAGCAGTCACTCTCTCCAACTAACTACAATCAAAAACTAGCAGCGTTACCAGTTTTTTCGTTTATTCATTTTACTGCCCGCCGCCAATTGCCACATTCGGCCAATTTGATGAAGCGTTCGCCTCGAATGCAGAGTGCCAATTTTTTTATATCCTCGGCTACTGCATACGTTCTTCGTGGCCCATCAGTATCCCCGATTTTACCACTGAATGCCATCCATGATTAAGCCTTTCGACGATTTTATACGGTTCGAGGAATTTCGGTTTCAACTTAAGCCCCTGTGTTGTTATTTGATTTGTTTTAGTCCTAGTTTTATTAATTAAAAACACTTTAATTATTTTTATAAAATTCTACTTTTTTTTAACTATATATTTTATAATGTTCTTCACATCTTCACAACACTATGAAGTTTTTTAGATCATGTTCATTTGAATACTAGTAAACAACTGCTGTCTTAAACTTATCTTAAATCTTACAATAGCTTCTTTATTTATTTAGAAAGCTATATCTATCTTATTCTAACAATATTTCTTAAATCTAACAATGTATTTCTTAACTCTAATTGGTTAGTCTTATTTACTTAATTATTCTTATTTTATTTATTTCCTATTTATGATCGACACATTACCTAAGACAAGAAATGCATAGCAAGTAATTACTGTGCAATTGCTTGTCATGTGTCTCATATTCACATGTGTTCCGATTTGTGTGGTCTCAATATATTTGACACCACATGAGCTCTTAACCGAATTTTAAGTGGCAAACAATTTATGTCAGAAGTATCGTTTTCTGACTCATTCCATAAATTATAAAAATGCAGCGGTTAGCGCTTTTAAATTAGAACACAAGTGGTTTAAAGAATATGACTGTAATAGTCATCAAAGGCGGCCTTAACATTGAGTAAGGTCAACCATAGATATACCATTACACCCCGTTCCAAACTGAGTACGCCTAATAGCCACGACATCACCTTCTGAATGTTGCGTTTCGGTCGTAAGTTTGGTGTCGTAAGTTTTGAGATTTTCGACCTGAATTTTCCTTATATTTTCTCGAGCCTCTTCTCGTACCGTATCTCGTTCGTTTTGTAATTCTATAACCTCATGTTCCATCATAATAGTTAGTATCTTGAATGGTGCAAAATTCGTACTTCGAGGGGGTGAATTATTTATCGTTTGCTGAACCTTGTCAACATGTCGGTACCAGTTCATTAGATTCTCCATGCAGTATTTAGTCTGCATTGGTACCACAATTCTATGTATCCTCTCAACTTGCCCATTTCCTCGCGGTACACCTGTTGCAATTAATAAATGTTGAATAAGTTCTTCTCTATAATACTCCTCAAAATTCTTAGACACGAAAGCTGCCCCGCGATCAGTGATAATTCTCCTTGGGTTACCAAACGTTGCTGCTTGTTTACGCAGTTTATCAACGACCTCATCAGCGCCTGTGCTTTTTGTCGGGTACAGCCATATAAATTTAGAAAATGCATCAACGATCACCAGGATGTGGTTGTACTGCTTTTGGGTGTTCTCCATCGGTCCGACATGATCCATATGAAAAGTGTTTAGCGGTCTAGCAGACTTATCAATTGGATTCAAGAATCCTTCCTTTTTACCCAGTTTTGCTTCCGCTAAGATGCACT